GGAAAAAAACCTCTCGGATAAGTTTTTATTTACTGACATGCATTTCTGATAACTGTTGAGGTTCAAAGAACGAAGGGTGGAAGCTATAAACCATTTTAAACATGGGGTTGAATCATAGACTGTCGATAAAATATTGATATACCTAGAGTCGTATCACCCAGTGCCATTAGACTAGGAATGTGAGGTTTCGGCGTTACTGTTTTTAGCCACTGCTATGTGGAACCATGATCATATTTGGATGAGTTTGGAGTCCTAGCTTTGTTAACAGGCCGTCTCTATAAACTGTGCAAGTGAAACACGGAGATGTACACATGCTACTCCAAAGGACTTAATTTGTTAAAAGTTATAGTTAGCCGTGATTTTATTGTGGTAATTCCTTCAGAAATGTTCCAAAATGTACCACCAGCCTGAGGCTTATAATGCATCGTTTGCCTAAAACTGCCTGTTTGGGACACGTGCAAATAACAGGAGCCACACCGTATACGTTAAAACTGAAATAATAATATTAATAATAATCACCACACAGCTGTTATGAAAGTGCTAACTATTCATAGAGGTTCAGGATGTAAATATGCCGTTTACCCTGTAAAACTGTTAAATTTTAACAAGTGGCCGCTAGAAAAACAGCTGTTTTTGGCACTTCCACATTGGTTTCATTTTGTAGTTCTGAAGGCTGCTTCTTACCTTAAACTAACAGTTTAAGCTCTATGGATAAATTATTTTAGAATAAAACATAAAGATCGGGAATAGGGAGAATTAAAAAAAACAAAAAAAACATTAAACACTGTGTGTAAATGGTGATACAGCATGTGCACCCATAAAACAAATGGCATAGTTGCACTTTTATCATCTAGAAATCTTTGCATTTACATGTTTGTGGCCCTTATGTTGTGTAATGTTTTCAGACATAGTTCTTTTATTTTGCTTACAATTCAGTATCTAAAAGGAAGTAGCCATTAAATGATAGTGAATATAAATTTTCCATGTGGTGGTGTTTACCTGGAATTGTACACATACCTCCTGATACGTGTGTTCAAGTATAACGTTCAACCACTAAAATTACTTGTTCAGGATTGCAAGTAAATAACTGTAATTTGGCATCTTAATCAAAAAACGATCCTGTGTTTTATTATTATTTTTCAGGGGGTTTTTTTGTAAAATGGTAAGTCTGAAAATTTGCAAATTACAATATTTGTATTATGCTGTTAAAAATATCATTTCAGTTAAAGATTGTGCGCTTATCGGTGGATTAACCATTACTGAAACATAAACAATATTTTTGGTAATTACCAATACTGTTAATTTAGGACAGCTGTGGCATAAGCCTTACTTTGGGTGGTGTTCTCTCTAATATCTGTAGATCTGTGGTTTACAGTACTGTGCTTACTCACATTTCAACCTGTCTGTTGTGTCACATTAATTTTGTTCAAGCTAAATGTCTGAAAACCCAAAAGACTTTGTAAAAATAAAAGACCTGGACCAGTTTAATTTCACAGCTGGTACATCCCCAAAAGAGTTGAAATCTACATGGGACGTCTACAGTGTCATTTAGTTTCTTGGATCACGGTGCTCATGTCTCACTGCTATTGAACGGAAACACATCTAGCAGGGAGACCCAGCTTTTTATAGATAAACTGAAAAATGTTGTCTTTTTTCGCTCTCGTGTTGCTTTTTGACTCTTTAATTCATCTTCATGTCACTACATGCTTGCAGCTGATCCAGATTATACCTGTGGAGGGGATGTGCATACTGATTTTTTTTTTTTCCCCTTTCCCTTTCTGTCTGCACACTCTCATCCCAGATTTGTGAGTGGCATGTGTCCCTCCATCTGGCACTCACATGCATTGCATACGGACATTGCATAATGGCCCGGGCCTTAGTAATGCAGCACCCCAGCACTACTCGAGCATGTGAGGAAGTGACAAGGGGCAGAGAAACAAACTGCTTATGTAAAAGCATTAAGAAGACCAAGCAGCTCCAGCCGCATTTGTTCACCCTGTGGGAAGATGAGGGGGAAAAAACAGAACTCATTCTCATTAAAAAGTAAAAAAAACATGCAGTTACAGAGGAATTAGCTGGAACCATGAATTACTCTCCCACTTTTTAAAAACTAAAGGGCGTGAGCTGCGTGTGTGGTGCAGTGTGCATTCTCAGGTTAATTCAGATGCGTTATAGATTGATAATATTTGACAGATAAAGAACTTGGTTTGAATTTTACTGCTGGAAAAAATACATTTTGAAATAAATTTCAGTATATATTTCCTTTGTGGATATGGATACAGTTCCAAGGGATTATTTTAACTTGAACATCCATCCATGTTCTCATCCTGGTCTGAGTTGTGTGGGCATCAGTCTAAGCATGATCAGGCATTTCTTTCCCTAACACTACCCCCTTAGTCTTCCTTGAGGGTTACTGAGGAATTCCAAAGCCAGCTGAGAGATAATCTCTCCAGCCCGCCCTAGGTCTGCCTTCAGGGCTCCTCCAAATTAGACGTGCTTGAAATATCTTTCCCAGAATGCATTCAGAGGCATCCTGGTGAGATGTCTGAACCACCTCAGCTGGCTTCTTTCCATGTGGAGGAGGAACAGCACTCCTCTGAACCCTAACCCTAACCCCCTAACCCTAGCCCCTGGAGCAGTTATTATCCCCTGCTCCAGGTCATAGCTGAGAACAGGAACGTATATGAACCAGGAAATGGACAGCTTCATCAAGGTCACAATGAATACATCCGATTAGAGTTTTCCACGTTTTCTATACAAATGCCAAACCCTAACTGACCAAATTCCCATATGTTTCAATTCAAAGCTTACAGGCTGTATATAAATACTTAGTGGTTTCTGGACTTCATATTTTAAAGTGACAGTATTAGTGTTTTGGCTGCTGCCATTTTGTTTTGTTGGAGCCCGAAGGACCGAGAGTGTGTGGGTGTCACTTTAAGTGATCAACCAAAGGCTAGCAGGCTTGGTTATTAGCCACAAATTAAACGGTTGTCACTCACACAAAATTCATATCTGCTCATTTTTGCAACTTCATTATGCTCCAAAAGGCACCAACAGCACAAACGCGGTGTAGACGCTCAATTTGGTGGAGGTGATGCTTGGCAGACAGCAGTTGGCTGTTATCCAGGCAGATGAGTTATTTAAAAAACAAACAAACACACACACACACAAAAAAAACTGTCTTACCTGGCTGTAAAGTTGGACATTTTAACATGGGGGGTTGACTTGCTTTAAACAGCTGCTAGAGGAACTGGACTTTTTGGCACTTCCACCTTTTATTATCAGGTTACAGTTAGCACGGAGCTCCTCAAATCATCCATCATTTGTTTATTTAAACTGTTAAACTTTGATTTCACAGGCTTTATTTCACAAACTGTTACCTGCAGTATTTTCAGCACCATTGTGCTGGTAGGTATCTGGCCAAAAAATAGTTTGCTACATAACTCGCTTTCTAACCAGTCATCATTGTCCATGTGCCAGGTGTTCACAGGTGTGATTGCTTGTTTAGTTTTTTCACGTTTGCACATGTGTTAGTCATAAGTACGCACACACATTCTTCAGTGTGGATTGGATCAGTGTTCCCCGTGAGATTACTGTAAAGTGTTGGATTATGATAAAAACGACTGTCACTCTGCTCTGTAAATTTTGCCCTCGGTCCAGCCACTGCTCTTAATCTGTGGCTCATCAGACAAAAACAGACATACAGGGTGAACTCAAAAGAAACCCCTCTCCTCATTTTTTTCCCCTCCTCTCCCCGCATGTTGCCGTTATCCAGTGTTTTTAAAAATAGTCTTGCTATTTCTGTGTCTCCCCTGCTGCGCTCCTGGCATTTTTTGCTCCCCCCTCTTGGAGTGCTGAGGGATTTTTCCTGCTCAGTGAAATCTGCAGCAGCTCTCATGGCAGGACCATCCAGAGCCGTAATCCAGACATACAAGCAGCTTGAATATAAATTCTGTCAAGAGTTTGCATTGGCTGGCAGCTCATCAAGAGGTCACAAAGATTTATTTATTTATTTCAAACCTCTCAGGACATGGCAGCCTGCTGTCATCTGGTGACTCGGGGATGGCAAGATACATTTAATCTGCGTGCGTGCCGAGGGTTTATATCAAAGTGGGAGGGAGGAGAGGGATGCATGCAGGGAAGAGTTGGGGATGGATTATTGAAGTTTACTAATGGGACTGAATGGTTGTAAAACCATTGTTAAACAATTATTAATCCACAAATTCAGAATACTGAGGATGAAATCACATTTTTGAGAAGTGAGTTGCAGACTGCAAGTCAAGGCATTATCTGACTCTCAGGTCCTGTCTTGCACCTTTCGCCTTGTGAAAGTCTGTCACTTTGGTTTGTGGAAACTTGTTGTGCAGCCAGCCAATCACAAAAGAAAAATCAACTGGGTCAGATGAAGGTGTGAATTTGGGCTTGAAAGACACACACACACACACACACACACACACACACAGAAGCCAGATACATTTGGCTTCTCCAGTGAAACATGGGTGTGAAAACGTGCTGTGGCATCACATCTGTTCTTGTGCAAATCTTGAACTGCAGACTGACTGCAGCTTAAAGTTGTCTGGTCATTGCTTTGTCATTAATAATCTTCGTCCATTAGAGGTTAGCGCTGGTATTGAGGGGTGTGTCATCATGTGATTTGTTTTTTTCTTTTTTTTTTTCAAAGTAGATGGATCTGTCTGGGTGTAAATGGTGAGAAAACTAAGCCTGGATGGGGGGATTATAGGAGAAGGGGGCGGGGAGCATGCATGATCTGTCAAGGCTTAGTACCACAATTATCCCAGCGGCTGCAGCAGCAGTCACAGCGGCGGCGGCGGCGGTGGTGGCAGAAGCTGCATTTTCATTAGTGTAATGTCCAGAGAAGCTCGAGAATTATGTAAGAGTGACGTGTTGTTATCCCCTCTCGGCCAGCCCACCTCCTGGCAGGAACGTGGCTGTTTGTTTTCCTTTCATCCTCGTTCGCTTGGAAAAGCCAAAAGGACATCTGTGGGAGTCAGCGGTTGAGGACAGGACCCTTAGTGGTCACGCCGCGGGAACCGCGCAGCACTGGACGCTCAATCTGTGGCTCAGTCTCCTGGAGAAAGTGATGCACTGAGGCGCAAGAACAGACAAGTTTGATGATGCCAAAGGAGATGAGTAGACACTCATCACTTCAGGTTGGGATCAGGGAGTGTAGCAGCAGTTAGTGATGAGGTCCATGGGATGTTCATAAAGGAGAGTTAGAAGATGAAGTTTAAGAAGTTCATCACGATCATGCAGGCAGCGATGGGGATTGTACCCTTAAACAAACGGGAGCTGCTGCCACCAGGCAGGAAACTGTGGAGACCCCCAGGGTGAGTTTGATTACTGTACCGTACCGGTACTTGTATTGGATGTTTTCTTCTAGAAGATGGATTTTTATATCCTGCTGTTGCAGTTCAGTGGGGGAATCAAAAGATTTCTGAAGAAAAAACAGTTTGGTGGTCATGCAGATAATTCTATTGTTAGTAGTTTCCCAAGCAAGAAGGAAGGGGAAGGTATTTTATTTCATTCACACAGCACAGAAACTGTGTTTCAGTTACTCACCATAATCCTTAAAGGCAGAAATCTGTGAGGCAAATATATCAACATTGTGACCATCTGGGCCACTAGCTGCCACGAGGAAGGGGGAGGAATCGGACAGGTGGATTGTAAACACAATGCATGACACATTCTTCTCACTACAGAGAGACACAGTGATGTAATGTGGAAAGTAATTTTCTTTTAAAGAAAGACCCGTGTTTGTGTTGTGTCCTGCATTTGGCAGGAAATGTTTTCTTTTTAAAACTTTGTTTAAAATCATTGTTATGTAGTCTTTTTTTTTTTTAATTTTTCAATAATTACTTATGTACCAATCAACAAATTGCTTCAGTTTAGTATTTGCTTTATTTACCAGCCTCAGTAATTATTGCAATACACTATTCTTCCAAGTTAAACTCACACACCTCGACTCGAGCAGCGACCCATAACAAAGGGAGTCAGGAGTAACAATTGCACATTATCGCCCAACCCTAATGTGGAACCCCGCCCAGGCTACAACTGTTGTAGCAGCATTTTCAGCCTCTTTCCTTTTACACTTCAAAGAATTTCTTATCGTTTGTATCATGACAGCCAAATTGTCACCACTGTCTCCAAACAGTTTAAAGTTGATTAAAGTTTCAAAGTAGAAACCTCCTCATCCTCTGTCTTTGTAGCTTTTTCTCCTGCATTTGTATTGATACATTTCAGTTTGTCATGCTGAGCGACTAACTTGCTTTATTACCTCATTAGTTTGTTATATATATATATATATATATATATATATATATATATATATATATATATATATATATATATATATATATATATATATATATATATATATATATATATTATTCATTCATAATTATGTAGTTCTTCTGTGCGCACAAACTTGTTCACTACTTACACTCGACACATCCAAGATAATCTAACTATAACAACAGGATTAAATAATCAAACTAATGCTTGTCACATTAATGACAAATCTGTGGAAAAGTAGAGAAATACAAATACTTACAATGTTACTTCTGTGAACTACCTCACCCTCAAGTATCAGTTTTGTAGCTGCAACTGAGGGAGGTATACTTGAAATATTTTTGATCCCAAGGTTATTGAGCAATTTATGTTTCAGCCATAATTACCTCCACCCAGCAGATTATGTGATTGGTTCAGTTTATTTCTCTGTTTGTCTGTCTGTTAGCAGGATTACTACAATATTATGGACAGATTTGCCATTTCAATATTTTTTTTCATAGGTAGGGCTTGGTCCAACTTAGATATAATGAACTTTTGGGAAGGATCCAGATCTGATTGAAATTTAAAAACTTTGATATTGGTCTGTAAGTTCAGATGCACTGTCAAAAACATCATGACAATACTTTTAATTTGTTTGTCACAAGTAGGGCTGAACGATATATCGCATTTGCGATAATATCGCGACATGATCAAGTGCAATTTTCTAACTGCAAAGGCTGCGATTATACTCTGGACATGTCCAAATTCATGGGCTGCATCCTCCTGAGGCCGCATTTGTAGACCGATTACGTCACAGCGACGCGCCGAAGGCTGTCCAAATTACGACCATATCCCAGAATTCATAGCGCGGCCCAGCCAAACTCCAGTTTCCAGCAATGGCGGCCGCTACTAAGTTTTAAAATTACTCATACTAATCTTTCTGGGTCACAAAATAAACTTTTAACATATTTTCAGGCGAGAAAGTAGTTGTGTAAACATCAAATATCTGCTCGGTTTATCAAGATATCCCATATTTGCAAAAGTGCTTCGACGTTTTCAGAGGCGTCTGCTACCCACCAGCTCGACAGCTAGCCGGGAGCTCGAGGGTTACTGATGCGGCCGAGAACGGCACAACTCCCGGCACATCATTTTCAGATCACCGCGGAGTTTCGCTGCTCGGGTTAAACGTAATATATAAGTCACTTAGACAACCTAAAAATGTTATTGTTGGGCTTTTTTCAGTGTTTTGTTTGTTCGTGAGTAAATCGGTTTGGCTGAGATTAAAGTTATTAGATTAGATAAAATAAAACTTTATTAATCCCCCGGGTGGGTTCCTCCTTGGTTTTCACACAGCTGACTAAACGTCAAACAGAAAACTTATTAAACAGAAGTATGAGACAGTCGAGAATTTACACCAGTGTCTGGTTATATTTTAGATAGCAAGAAGCAGACGGCCGAGTTTATTAAACTCCACCGAGACAGCGGTGACGCTAATCAGAAGGCTAGACCGTCCAATTTCACGCCTTTAAATTTTAAAGGCGTGTTTGTGTGTGTGTTTATACAATTGCTATTATGTTTGCACTTTATGTGTAATGTTACTGACTGCAGAGATCAGTAAGATGTGTGTATTTTTTATTTATTAGTTTTATTTATTTAATATTATTTTTTAATTGAATGACTGTCTAGTAGTTCACAGATGTCGAAAAACTGAGTGTGGTAAAGCCACTGATTTTTGTTTATGTATATTTCTGCAATCTGCACATTGTACTGACTTTCATTTTAATGTTTACACCAGGGTTCCTTGTCAGCACTTTATGCTCAGATGTTTGTAAGCTAAAAATAAACTATTGTGTATGTTCAAATATACTGTTGTGATTGAAGAAGTTAAATAAAAATGTCAGTCATCAATTCATGCATCACCTCATGTCATCATAACAGAGGTCTGTCTTCCAGGAAAGAACAGTTTAAAATTAATGTAATATAGTATTGGCCATACTATATGATGTATTGCTTGTCTTTGTTTAATAATACAGAAGACAAAGACCTTAAAAAATAATCGCATATCGCATCGCAATCGCAATATTGGGGCAAAAAAATCGCAATTAGATTATTTTCCATAATCGTTCAGCCCTAGTCACAAGTGCTGCTGAAGTTTGCTTTGTTTCCTTTGTGTTTCCTTTGTGTGCTACGCAATAAAAGCCATGTTAGGTTTTACTGGTTGAAATCTTTAATATTAATATGCAGCAATTACTTGGAAGCAAGCCCGCAAGCAGTAATCATTTACAGGAACGAGTCACAAAGTCCCACACAGAAGACAAACCAAAAGGAAAACAAAAAACAGAAGAGGGCGGGCGATCAACAGAACAAATGCTTCCTTTTTTATCAGTTTTTGGAGCATGTGGAAGCAACATGAAAATGCATTATAAATTTGGATCATTACAGAATGCAAGTAAATGCAAACTGTTGATTGAGCTGTAATTTGAAAAGAAAAAACAAAACAAATTGAAGAGGTGACTTTGATTCTTTTCCCCAAATGAAATCATTCATGGAGAATGGAGGAGTTGTTTTGAATGGATATAGCAAATAGGATATGTTTTTGGAGCGTGGCTCATACTAGGGATTAAAATGGTTTGGCTTTCTGTTTTACATTACCCTCTGAGTATCCTGCTTTTAGTAGTAACATAATTATAAATGCCAGGATAAATATCCATGAGCTTGTAGGAAATGAGGTACTAAAATATCTAAATGCCCTTTTAATGTAGTCGCTCATAGAGTAATGAAGTCTGCGCAGAGCGGACTTCGGTAAGAAGTCAGTGGAGACACCACCAGTGTTTTTATCCCCAGGCACGCTTCAGGTCTTCCTGGAAATACTGAGCCCCTCCTTTTGCATTCACAGAGTGTGGTTTTTTTGGGTTTCTTTGAAAGTGTAACAGTTAAGGTTTGGTCACGCAGAGGAAATCTGGTTTCTTCCCTCTCTGTACGTGATATCTGACTTTATCCACTCAGATCATCTCAGTGTGTTTGACACAATGCCATGAAGCTGGGGATGGGTGTTGACCATATGTTTGGACATGCTGCTTGTGATCAATGGCAGAGATACTTAAAATGAGACTTGAGATGAGTTTGATAATAGTCTGTTATCTGTGTCAGTCTGGTCTTCTGGTGAGTCTGGTTTAACTGTGTCATGCACCAATGAGAAACATGTGGCTAATTCTATTAAAGTATCCATCATACTATATACTCTATATCATTTTGATTTGCTTTTGATTGCCCTTAAACATTTTTTAAGATAATTTTTAATCTTGCCATATTAGGATCTGCATAAAGCCCCACCCACCTGTTCTTCAAACGAGGGGCAGCCAATCAAAAGAAGGATGGCTTAACAGGAGAAGGAGAATGAGGGAGAAGGTGGATTACGTCCAAATGTCAGAAAAATATAGATTATTTTCAACTAAAGTCATGCAAAACTACGAGTCGAGCCCAAGAAGAGTTTTTCCTCCATAATTTGTTTTAAAGTCTCTTATTTAATGTTTCCTGCAAACTGTGTAAAATACTATAAATGAACATGTCTAGGAAATGTGTAAAGCAATTACATAACTCAGGAATGTTTAGAGAGCCTTATTCTTTTTATGCTGTATAAAAATAGATCTCTCCGCCTGGTGCAAAGCATCTCTTGACACCTCACTTGGACAACATGATTTTCTGAGTCATGCCCATTTAAATATTTCAGACTATTCAACAAATTGCTATGTTTTAAGGTCAAAGCATCCTCTAAAGAAATAAATCTACTCCTCTTGCTGCCCTTTAGACAAAGTGCTATACAGTGAAAGTTTTAAATAATCCCTTTTCATTATGGTAACACTGCTGGTTATGATGTAATATTGTGTTTCTCTTATGTGCTCAGGGATCAGCCTGGCTCTGACCAGACCAGCACTGACCTCCTCAAGTGCAGCAGAAAGTTCTGCTGGTCCAGAGAAGCCCAGTACTTGTATCTTCGCCGCCTGTCTTCACGCAGTTTCTCGGCTATTATGATGGTACGTCTTTTACATAAACGTCCACACTGTATCTGATTTGGCCTCGAGTTATGTGATATTTTTTTGTTTTCCTTTCTTCACTAACACTACCTTGTGGATTGTGCCTTGTACCTGGTACTTTTTTGGTATCGAATGCAATAGATTGAGTCTTCAGTGAGCTAAGGCGAGGACCGTCAGTCGGCCATCACGTGTGACAATCGTGGCGTACAACATTAAAACTAACATTTTTAAATGACTTTGCTAGGACTGGTTCAGATACTCGACTGTTTGAGCCTAAACTCTACCCAGTGTCCAGTCTCTTACTGAACTGAGTACACAGTTCTGAGCTTTATTTTGCTTTAATTTCAGTTTGGTTTATTCACAAATCAATCAAAATATACATTCCAACATGATAGTCTATATGAGATGGTTATTTGTGAAATGGTGCTTCCTAAAAGCTAACCTCAACTTATAAATAGGGGCCAAAACATCAGATAATATACAGCAAATGCGTATAGAATTACCAATGTACTGTAACTAACCTAGTCACTAAAGTATCCTAAGGTAACCTTAAAGATCCTAACATATAACTAACACTGTTACACTAACCATCCATTAATACACTAACACACCAATACCTCTAGCTAGTTTCACATAAAAATAAGTGTGAATCTCAGGTAGAAAGCCAACCAGAGTTTAAAATCTTTCCCTTCAAATCTTGGTGTTTTTGTTTTCTCGTATTATATGTGTGAGAAGGATGAAATATTGGATAAGCTCACAAAGTCTTTTGTTAAATGTAAATACTACTCTATACATAGCACAGTCATTGTGAAATATGTTATATTCTTTTAAATTTAGAGGTTTGTAACCAAGAAAAAGGGGATCAGAAGGAGCATCTAGATTGGACCATAATATTTGAAGTCTTTTATTTGAAGTGTGTGTGTTATTTGATATGGGAAGGATAAGTATTGCACCATATAACAGTAACTTAAGTGAGGCTCTAATAACGATCGGTGTAAGTAGTTCGCTAATATCAACATAGGTAATTTTTTCATTAACTCATCAATATGCCTCTTAAAATTTAGAAGTTCATCAACATGAACCCCCCAGAATTTAGTAAGTATAACCCTTTCGATCATTAACATTTTTCTGATTTTTTGTTTGAGTGAAATAATTTAATATCAACCGCTGCAAGACAAACTTGTTGTTGAAGTTAAAATTTGATATAGAGGTCCTCCCAGGCTTCAGACATCCCTCCCATTCACAACTGAAATCACCACACTGTAGTTTACTGTACTTTAAACATCTAGCAGTGAATCTAGTGGCTTTTCAATTAGCCGTTGTGCCGTCAGTGAGATCTCAGCCTCAGTTCTCTCTGCACCTACTCAATGTTAGTGACAGGAAAGAGCGAACAACAGCACTGATGACTAAGCCATTTGCATATGTGCGGTGTTGTTTGATGGTTTGTTTCCCAGGTGGTGTGTGTGTGTGTGTGTGTGTGTGTGTGTGTGGAAAAAGGAGCTTTTGCACTGAAAGCTCATTTTGCATGTTAGCATAAAAGAAATCACAGTACAATCATTGTCTTTAATTTTATGGAGATTTTAAAGATAATAAATCAGACGCTAGTTATTTTCCAACCATGTTAAATTCCCCACAAAAGCATCAAAGTAAAGCTGATACTGCTGTGTTCGTGTTCATTTTTGTGGTATTAAAAGCTTTGGGGAAAACAAAGATTCAGTCATTTGTTTGCAGAGCTTTCTACAATGACCACAGTCACCACCTCTTGTTTTCTTGTGAAGGCTGTGTGGTGCCCTGTGCGAGAAGGAGGCGAACCCAACAGGCGGAAACCGAGTGAGGAGTTTGTTTTGTAGGGAGGGGTTCAGATTGGAGCTGCTGCTGTTTCTCAGCTCTGAGAATAGCCAGCTGAGGTTTGAGTCTGCACTGATGCTTACTAACCTTGCTCTGTGAAGGTGCAGTGCTTGTGTTGGGCTGCACGCACTTGTGAATGGTGGAAATCCATGTGTTTGTGTATGACTAGGAAAGATTTGACTGTAAATGTTATTGAAAAGCACATTGTAATGCATTATTCTTCCCTTTTTTTTGTATTGTCAGTCGGGCAACATGGACGCAGGTTTGTGACTGCAATAACTCGAGAAGAAAGTGATTTTCAAATTCATACCATAGTTGCATCTGCTTAAAAATCCCGAACATGTATGAATCTCAGTGACCTCAACCTTTAAGGTCAAGGTCAGAGGTCAAGTTTTCCAAGACTCTTTATCATTTCTGAAATGTACTACAGCATTTTTCAATTAGCGGTGGACATGATCTTTTACTTGATAGTGACATAAAATGCATCAAGATGATGTTAGAGGTTGTTTTTTTTTTTTTTCAGCATCAGAGGACCTCCCACAGCTTCCTGCTGTATTTCCCTCTAACAGTTTGTTAGGAGATCCCTGAAAACGATGTGTTTACCTGGTATGCTTGTCTATGGTGCTAGGCCAAAGTCATGTAGATCCAGTGCAGAGCAATGGAAGGCAATCAAGCAGCCCTCGTCCTGTGGCATACTATGAAGGCCACATGTTTGTTGTGTAGATGCAGCCTGTTGCCTTTGGGTGTTCACCTCTGGACCTTAATTAAGAGACCCTCCAGGAGCCACAAGGGTGACTCATCACAGAGTGAGGAGGTATGAAATTGAGCCTGTGTCTCTCAGGTGGCTTGTTAACGCCTTGACAGATCGCTGGAAGAGCTAGAGGTGATGGCATGTCAGAGGGAGGTCTTTGCAGCTCTGCTCAGGCTGCTGCCTCTGTGATCACGACCTGGATAAGGAGCATAAGTGAATTCGTGGATATCCTCTGTTGTTCCTGTGTTTGTAGTGTGATCACGTGGATGTTTCTTCAGTTCTGTGTGACATTGCTATCAGTGAGAGTCCAGCAAACTTTGAGGAGGTAGAGGGAAAACGCCAGCTACCAAAAACAAGCCAAGCTGAGATGAGACACATGAAAGTATGATTTTTACTTGAATTGGTTCAGTGGAAATGATGTAATTCAGGTAACTACAATTTTTTTTTTCTTAGTAATGTTTTAATTAAATTCATGGTATTTGTAGAAGTGATTTTGCTTGTTAGCTGGAGCTTATCTAAGCTAAGAAAATGTGTCAAATCCTTGCATTTTAATGATTTCCTTGTGTTGAGTGTAATGCTTTCAGGGCTTGTCTGTGCACACATGGAGCGCACTGAGTGTCCTTTTTCTTGGCTGTTTGTTTTTGTCAAGCAAGGTTTGATGGGTTTTGTGGTTAACGTCACTCGGGTGATTGTGTGAAACTCTGCTGTTGAAAATTTAATGATTTTTCAGTCTTACGAAACTCTTGCGTAATCCCATCAGTGATCTGAAAAATGCAGGCATGTCCTTTTTTTTCCTCTATTTGTGCAAAAATGATTTGTAAGCTGTGACTGAGACTGCTTCTGCTCTGACACATTGACGACTTGAAGATAAAGTTCAGTGACTCAGTCTTTCCCAGGCTGCTTCCTCCCCGTTTCCTTATTTGAATATAACTACACTGTTGTGACCCCTCCTGAATCCAGAATGATGATTAACCAGGGAGACATGTCACGTCCCAGAAGCTTCATTGTTTTAATGACTTGCTCTCACAAATTATTCAGGGCAGTGAAGCTGTTTTGCATTTGGATGGCCTATTTTAAGATCAGTTTGGCATCTCTTAGTTGGAGTGGAATGTGTTGATTTATTTGGGTTGACCTTAATTTCTCTGAAATTGTATTGTCATTATTTAATTCACTGCCCTAAAAAAAGTGTGGATAAAGTGCTGTGTTCTTCAGAAGCAGAAATTTGTAAAAATGGTGGATATTAAAGGGATGGATCAGGTTGTATAAAGGATTTTGGACATTTTCAGAGTCAGCTGGCGTGTTCTTATCTGATTCTTCTGTGATAAAATACCAGATGAGGGTAGCTTCGTACACACAGTAAATTGTGCACACAGAGATGAAAGGGGGGGGAAAAACAAGGGGTCATTGTGGGACATCTGCATGTGGTCATCTTGACTTTTTGTGTAAGCTTCTCATAATAGGAGCTTTGAGTTTTTCACATAGTATTATATGGGTGACAAATAAAGGAAAACCAACATTAAGAGTCATTTTAAGGTGTTGAGCCATCCAAGTGCCACCAAAATGGCTTCAGTGCCCCTTGGATTTGATTCTCCTAGACTCTGTAACTTCACTGTTGAAGCAGAGCACCGTCATTTTGTGTTTTTGATCATGGCGATGTCTGTCATATTTATTTAAGAAAAGGTGGTTTGATTAGATTGAGATCTGGTAGGCGTGTAGGCCATTCCAAGATATGAGCCTCTTGATTGTCACCCAGGAAGACGCTGCTCTCATTGGTTAAAAATATATTTGCCTGTTAGTAGATGAGTGGAATCAAACAATGCCAATTTCCACCGGTGGAAGCGCATCCAAAGCCAACTATTTCTTGCTGCGTGCATCATTTGAGAGAGGAAAATAGTCTGATCTCTTTATTCCATGACCTAAAAAAAAAAAAGAAGTTATATTTCAGATGCAAGGACAGATCACAACTGTAGTGGAAGATCCTTTCCTATTACAACAATAGAAGGAATCAGAAGACCACTAACAGGAAGGTCAGTAGCTCAGTCCTCAGGTCTTCCGGTCCACATATTGAAGGATCCTTGGGCAAGCTACTGAAACCCAAGTAACTCCCAACACATCCGTCTGTATATGAGTGAGTGTGCTCTAGAGTACTACTGTATGAATTTGGGCATGTCAGCTTGTATTAAAAAGCCCTTTAAGTGGTCCATTTGACTAGAAAACCTCAATATAAATGTTTGTTCAGTTGAACAGACTAGGCAAGACAAAATATGTCAAATGTCCCGTTAAAGAATAAAGTTTTTTTTTTAAGTTAAAAAAGATGTGTTTGAAAAGTTCTGGGAAACATTTTTGAAGTTGTAGAGGTTGAATGTAATGTAAAGTCAATCTGTAATGTCGCAAATACACATTTAGATGTAGAGATGTAGATATTAAGTTAGGGGAAATTTGATATTAACAGACAGCAAACACCAATGTAAGGTAATACTCAACAAATGACTGCATTCTGCCTAAATGAACAAACTATACTTTTTCCTGTCAAACCTGTTAGTAGATATTTAGGAGCTTAAATGTATGTGTCGTTTGGGGGAGGGGTGTTGGATTTACTCACAAGAGTTATTATTATTTACACACCCTGAATAAACGTTGTTGTTGGTTTTTTTTTGCATTGAAAGCAGTTGGAATAAAATATTTCAGTTATCCTAAAATGGACGCGTCGACAGTTTGGTTAATGTCTATAATATTCCTCACTTAGTTTAATTAAGGCTGTTGTTGTGCTGTCTGGCTGGAAGCCTCACAGCAGGCTGCCTAAAAATCAATGGGAATTTTGGACGCGTCCATCTCAACGATCTAAGGGTGGTCGTAAGCCACCTTTATTTCTCTATCTGCTGTGTTATCAGCGGTTTGTAATTACACATATTATTGGAATATCAGTATTAGTTTCATTAAAGTTAAGTTTCTAAACTGTTGTTCGAGTTGGTCTTTATTTATCTAAATTAGTTTGGACCTAACCCCACCCCTCCCGGGGGGTCCTACTTGGTACAATCTGAACCAAGCTAGGAGCTGTCGGCGCTAATTTTTTACTCTGGATTCACGAAGTCTGTGTGTTTTGTGAGTGAAGTGGTTCACTTAGAGTGAAACATTCGAGACTTTTACTTTTTCAAGCTTCTAATTTTTTTTTAAATTCTTCACAACTTGTGGCAGATGTGCCACCGGAAACGCCTAACTAGTCGTAGTTTGGTTTGAATCCTCGGTACCACTCTCGGACAGTTCAAAGTGCGTGATGCCAGTAAACGGAGGGGGGCTGCTCTCTCTGAGCAGATACGCTACTCAGTATTTAACAGTAAGTCCTTTTGTACGCCTACAGTCAGTACTGACGAATACAAATGTAGTGTAATGTAGCATTATTAGATAACTTTAGCCATATGGATGTGCTGTGTGTGTGTTTGCGTGTGTCTCTGTGTATGTGTGTGAATATCCTTGAGGAAAAGTCGGGAGTTTCCATGAATCCCTGCTGAAGCCTGTTGCACCTGCTGTTACTGCTACTGCGACTGCTACCAGCTACACGAACGGTTTAGTTAGCTAACTTTTAACTTTAAACACATCTGTTGTCTTAAGATTAGTTTTGACTTCTGATCCAATCCGCAGTTTTTGTTTAGTCGACCGATTGGTACATTTTACAGCGGATTTAACGTTTTTGGACTTATTTATCTTGTGGTTATTTGAAAATCCACTTTCTCGGGAAACGGCAGTGTTGTGGTCCCCCTGCATTACAAACTAAAGCCTTCAAACTCAATGTAGTTGTTGTTTTTCTACACTAAATTAAATATACTTATGCAGGAGTTGTTTTTCTGGCACACGATGTAATGCAGGTATACGGCCAGGAGGGGGTAGACTTGCACTGCCTTTTCTTATCAGCAGCACATAAACACAGGAAGTGGCTGGGTCATTTTGTCATTTCCTGATAATGTTCCTTTGATTTCAAGGAAAGATGGGAAGTAATTGGGACAAGAGAAGCATGTTGCTCAAATGATGTGATTATACTCTAAACAAAGCTGTAAAACCTAAATAAAACTTTGGTTGATAGGCAGAAAAGTCTTTAACTTAACTGAACATTTTCTTGTAGCATGTTTCATGTCATGTTCCTACTTTATATAATTGTATTTATTTAGTTAGTTTTGGCCTGTAGGGAAGGCAAAGCAATGTAATTCAATGTTATAATTAAAATGCATCACTTTGTACCTTAATTTACATTTAACATTCAGATTAGTCCAAAAAAAACCCCCAAACAAATGAAGTTATAATGAAAATGATAATATAGGTCTACCATCTATTAAACATGTTCCAGGTTATTTTTCTTTGGACAAACGTGATTGATATAAGAATAGATGGGTACTTAAATAATTCTGCAAGAGACGTTACTGTCTTACGGTAACAGTAAAAATGGTATGTGTTTCAGCTACACATTTATTTTGTATTTTCTTTGTGATAAGTGATGAGCTGTATCTCTAAATTTGTTTTCCAAGTCACATCCTGTGTGTATAACCCAGTATGTCATTTCCCCTCCTCATTAGTGGAAATGTGTTTGTGTTTTGTTATGTAATCGCTTGCACTAGGGACTGTGACTTATCCAGTGGGCCTGCCTGCGAGGACCCATAACGTTCAAATCGCATAGTACAAAAAGACACTCTGACTTAAATTGGTTTGGCTTTGCCTGAAGCACGCTCATATTTCTAAGTCATTCATATGTCTCCCCTCTTCACACATGGCAGTCTGTTTGGCCCTTTGTGGTGCAAATGGATGTCAAGTGATATCCCCCCCCTCCAATATAAATGTTCCCCCTTTTTATTGAGGCTGGGCTCAGTATGTTTCCAATCCATTGCTCTCTACACACACGAGCCTGGTTTGCGAAAAACTGTTTAAGATAAAGTTCCAGATGGGCATTTCAAAGGTCATTTCCAGATCTAAAAAAAAAAAACAAAACAAAAAAAATCTACCCCTCCAAGAGTTTGTTCCCCCCCACTGTGGGGTCTCTCTGCTTCTGCCACTGGTCCTAAAGTATTCCTGTGCTGGCCAGAAGATCAAAAAAGTGGGTTATGATGGGTGTGCTGCCAGCTCGAGTCATGCCCCCATTTCACTAAGCCTGAGCCTGGAATGGCAGCAGCACAGAGATTTTTCGCTTTCCACGATGTAAAATCCTAACCATTGAACTCCTCAAACGTTCACTGTGGGTTTGTCTCTGTGAAGTGAGAATTGGCTCTGAAACTTTGGGAAGTGCCCGATATATCTCGATGTGCGAGCGCGTGGCGAAGCCGGAATACGTCGAGTGATCCGCTGTCGCGTTTGTGGATGAACTCTCAGGTTGTTGGGATCGCCGCGTGCTTGCACAGGAGCTGGTGTGCCTGTGTGTTTACACTTTCTGCAGACGGTGGGATTTGTGCTGAATGTAGGCCAGCAGAATCCCTCTTACGTCAAAGGCAGGCGGGCGGGCAGATGCAGGGAGAGAGCTGCTGGTGGTTGTGCAGCTGTGGCCATGGAGGAGGCTGTGGCGCACATCAGTCTGCCAGAGCACCGCTGGCGGTGAGCAGGGAGAGACACAGAAAGGAAAGAGACTGAGCACCAATGATGAAGACGGTCCTCAGCTTGCACAGGAAATGGGCCCACGCGGTGAAGACCATACGTATCCTGCAGGGGCTCGTGAGTGCTATTCTGATTGCAGCTTAAATTTGATCAGATGTCTTGCCAGCCAGCATGACCTGAGAGTTTCTTTAATGGTTTGGGTCGTGTTTTATTTTGAAATGAGGATGTCAGAAGTGCAGAAAAGTAGCACTAACGGGTGAAAAAATTCCGGGTAGTTTACGTGAACGGATATAAAGTAGTTTGCCTTTTCTCTCTCCATGTTTGTTGTGTAAAAAAATTGATGTGTCATTCGTGTTTTTATATTTTGAAATCGCCTTTGTCGTTGTTGAAAATAAGGGCATGTTTTTGACCAACTTTGGGATTTTCTTTGGACTGAATGAGTTTTTAGTCTCCTAACAGATATAAATAAAGTGGCAGCATCTATTTAAAAAGGAAACCTCTTTTAAACAATTTCACTTTATTTCAGTTTTTTCCTCACTCTGTCAGTTTGAGTCTGTCTTTTAATTAGTATTTCTTAGTGTGACCTGCTGGTGGCTTCCTCATACAGCCTGTTTCATACAGTTTTTTGTTTTGTCTTATTTAAAGAGTGCAAACTGATGCTTAAGTGTTCCAAATCCATTTCTAATCAACAAAAGCCAGAAGTTACTTTTCACAGCTTGCACTAAACAGCCCAGTGGAGGGCTGTCATTGTTCTTGTGGTTGTGTAACAACAGGAAGCATGGGCTAATGAACTAGCTTTGTTGTTACATCACAAAATACATTATTAATCTGTCCGGTGAAATAAACCCATCCGTGGTAATCTTTTCTTCTCTCTCCTCAGAACCCGGTCATGGAGGAGACCGTGTGGGAGCAATACACCGTGACCTTGCATAGGGTGAGTCCATCTGCACCTAAAGACACTCCCAACCTCATCTCATTTACAGCGTGCACATGTTTTCCATAAGCCCGAGCTGTTGACCCCGGTGGATCACAGGAAATGCATTTAATTGATTGCTTTGATATTTTGAAGTGAACCGATAGTGAAGGGAAAATGATGTCAGTGACATTCCCCTGAACTCTGAATGACCAAATTCAAGCAGAGCTGTTATGTTTTAAACCATCAAGAACAGTTATGTTTATGTTTCTGCTTATGATACTTGACTCGGGGTTAAGTAACTTAGAGTAATGGATCATGGAGCTTTTAGCAGCTAGGGGGGAGTATAATTCAAACGTGTGTGTGTGTGTGTGTGTGTGTGTGTGGTGTGTGTGTATAGAAGATGGATTTAGCTTTTACAACCAAGTCATAAGTGTATTTAATCTGCACTCTTTTTAATAGCCAGCAGATGGCGATCTGCTGGTGACCTGTGGTTGTAGAGAAGGCTACCTGGGAAAACACAGCTTGGCTGTTTTGCTCTGCGCCCTCAAAAAACAGTTTCCTGATTAGTTTAGGGGCTCAGCTCTTAGTTTCCAGTCTTACTGAATACAACATGAAGTCCAGTCTGTAAGTTTTCATTCTAAGAATCAGAAACAAGGATTATCACGTCAGACACCAAGATAGCGATGGCAATTGCAACTCAAGGCTTCTTAAAGACTGCTTTAACTGTCCTTGTCAATTTTGAAGATGACCATAATTTACAACTAAATATTTTATTCAGTGCTACTTGAGACTGACGACATCAAGAAATTGTTTAGAAAGGTAACAAAGTAAAGGAGCTGAGTTCTGGTTTTCCACAGAACTCATATAACATATAACACAAAGTCTTACTTGAAACCAAAGTTGTTGGCTTTGTGTGGCCATTGAAAAGACTGCAGGTGTAAAGCACATCCAAGTTACTTATATCTGAAAAGTAAAACTAACATTCATCTTTTATACTGTCTATAGTCTACCTTAAAGAGGTGGTCAAGACATGGGAATCTGTGTCCTGAGATGATTTTGTTACATGGGATGTTATCCTGCTGAAAGTAACAACAGACGATGGGTACACTGGTTATAAAGAGATGGACAGGTTCAGCAATAATACTCAGGCTATCGTGTTTAAACAATGCTCAGCTGGTACCAAGTGGCGGACCAGTCTCCTCTGGCATCAGTAAGGCATTTTTGCCCAGAGAATTGATGCTCACTGGATGTTTTCCCTTTTGTGGGCCCATTCTCTGGAAACCGTAGAGTTAACTGTGCAGGAAAATCCCAGTAAATAACCAGTTTCTGAAATACTCAAACCAGACCATTTGGCACCAACAACCATGCTGCGTTCAAAGTCAGTTAAATCACCTATTATCCCCATTCTGATGATCGGTTTTAACTTTAGCAGGTTGTCTTGACCACATCTACATTACTCCAATGCAGCAATGTGGGATTTGCAAATTGGCTGTTGCCAAATTTATTTTTTATTTTTTTCCCCTGGTTCTGTATGATGTCACTGAGAGTGAGTCCCACCTACCAGGTGTTCAAATGTTTTGTTGATGAGGGGCAGCCAATTAGAAGAAAGTTTATTTAAAAAGAGGTTGGTCTCAAAGGGGCATCTTGAATTTAGGGTTTGAGTCCAAGAATAAAAAAAAATATGAAACAGAAATTGGCGTAATGTGTTCCTTTTAAAATAGATTTCAGTGTTTAACATGTGGTCATAGTTAGATTACTTTTCAACAATGTTCTGATCATTAATAACTTAAGTTTATTAGAAATACATTTACATAAATATACCAGGTTAAAATATTTATTTATTTATTTCTCAATTGAAAAATTTAGTCCAGGAATCCTAAACTGTATGATCCAGTGACTATTAAAAAATGAAGATATACTTCAGTTCCACTTTTTGATTTTTCCCAGCTATCACATCTTTAATCGTTTATTCGTTCAACTTGTTTAACCATCATCCAGTGACCAGGGTTCTGGCTGCTGTTATGTTAGTCACGTGTGTGACTGTGTAAGCGCAGGAAGTCATTTGAGCTTAGGTAATCATCATGATGAGCTCATTGTCGCGTGCTGTGGCTCACTTAGGCCAGAAAAGCAGATTTTGTGCAAAAAGGTCCTCTGCTGTAGGCGTGAGCCCCCCCCCTCACAACCCCACCACAGCCAGCTGTCACACTCTGCTTTGTGCTTATACTTTTTGGTCCCTTCCACTATTTAACCGAATTTTCTCTCTTTAAATATTCAGAGTATTTCTAATGTCATTTAAGGAGCACAGAGTCTAAATATATGATATTTATTTGATTTTTGGTCTAAGGTAGAGCCCATACTTTGCTTGTAAGGGATTAAAACGGTATTTATTACAGTATGCAACATTCAGCCACATTTCCATTTTCAGGTAGGTTGCAGCTCGTAACTTAGTCGTCCACCCTTTTCTCCAAAAAGAAATGACTTCTGGAGTCTAGATCCACAGACATGTATATACAGCACAAAGTGCAAACTGAATACACCGTGTAGTACAATATCTGCCCAGTAGTTTATATCATTTGTCAGATTATGGCATTTAAAAAGCTCCAAAAAGAACAAACACAATCCAGAGTAGAGCAGGGCGATATGGCCAAAAATATTTATCACGATATATATTTGAAAATTTGCGATAATGATATAACCGACGATATAATTGATGCGAGACAAAATACAACTCCACAACATTACTAGCGCAAAAAGACAACCTTCCATTTATTTTCACTTAAACAAGAAGCTGGTTTTTATGTACATTAAAGCTTTATAAAAATGTAACAGTGCAAATGCAAATTCCTTGCTGAAAGTTTAACCAAAAGGCATTTCCAGTAGAAATGGGCTGACATAACCATGTATAATATCCACTGAAGTTAAAAAGAGGTGCTTTGCAACATTAAACTGCAGTGTGCAGTATGCATTTTTCGGACCGTAAGGTGCACAGGATTATAAGGCACATTAAGCGAAACAAAGCAGTGAGATAAATCAAACTTTATTAAACTCATTCTTCTTGCTTCCTCCACTTCTGTACCATTGATTCATTAATGTTGAATTCTCTGGCAGCGGCTCTATTCCCATGTAGTTGCAGTATATTAATGACTAACCTCGTATTGTGGATGGATTATCTCAGTTGTTCTCCTGACTGAAGTTTGGTCCGTTTACAGCATCCTGCCATGCGATTGCATTTGTCTCTAACCATGAAGAACCTTCACGTAAACTGTTATAAGTGGAAAAGTGTTAGTGTTCGTCCTCCAGCTTCACTGTTTATGTTATGCTAACATAGCTGTGTCGCTAGCGATCACGTAGCACATCATTATATACCAGCTAGCCCAACTTCAGTAACCCTACAAACGTCACTGCTGTTTAGTTTCCTGTCTTCATTTATGTTGGAAGTGATAGCAGAGCTGTACGTTTGATTTTTTTCAGAAATCTCTCAGTCAGAACATGCTATATCATGCTTAGGTAACTAGCGAAACTAGCGAGCTAACTTCCGCTAGCTTCCTGCTAACTTCTAACTCCGTTAAATGTAATAACTTTTGTTTTCATGGATGCCTGGAAGTTAAACTTTATAGTTACACCTGGTAAAGCAGCATGCTGATCGTTTTATTAAAGATGAAAGAATTTAGACAGTTTTTAACTCTAAGTGATGCTGCAGTGTTGTTTGACCTGAAGCATACGGAGTTTAGGACCCACATTACTCCCAGATTTAAGAGCATCTTAGTCCGACAAATACGACAATAACAACGGCCGCTTGCATGTTCTGCAAAAAAAATGTGCTTTGTCGTGTAGCTGACGGACAAACACCAAACCAGTTCCACATCACGGAAGTTGCACCATTTTTACAAACCAATTCTGGTTCATCTGTTTCACTCAACAATCGGCCATGTGCGTATGAAAACAAAGGCACTGCGCATGCGCGTTTTACTCCCATTCTATCGCGATATTTCATTTTCCTATCGTTGCCTAACATTATACCGGTATTACCGTGAACGGTATAATATGGCCCAGCCCTAATCCAGAGGTTCAGTTCAGCAACTGGAATTGGTGGAGGTGATCCTGATCACACAGTTAATCTTTAGTTGCTTGCGTTGTTTTCCATCTCTGTAGCATGCACTTAATAATGAAAAAGCAGGATTCGCATGTGTTTCATATGAGTGGGATGTCGTCAAACATTCCCAAACTGAATTCTGGATTTATTGCTTTGTTTTTACTCATCTGCCAGCCAGTCAATATGCATTTATCAAATCCAATTTAAATAAATATCTGTAAACGTCTTCAGACGGAGGCAAGATTTACAAGATGGCAAAGAGGAAAAAGGGGAGATTCATGGTTATAATGAAGGAGGACATGCAGTGGGTTGGTGTGACAGGAGGATGTTAGAGGTGGAGATGGAGCTACACCTAGAGGGAGCAGCTGGAAGAAGAAGAAAAGGCAGAACAGGCCACACACCGTTTATTAACTTGGTTTTGGGTAAAGATGGGTATAATATGGTTGATCTGATGCATCAGAAAATAAAGCATGTTCTGAGTATTTAAAGAGAGACAATTCACTTAAGAATACCCCCCCAAAAAGTTGTTACCAGCTCTACTTTCATCAACCTGATGGTGAAAAATAATCAGCCCATATCACATTGTAAATATTCCTTAATAATTATAAAATTGGTTTAAGATTTCTTATTTAGATTGGCATCTGCAGGAGCAGCTGGTGACTTTTTTTTTTTTTTTTTTTTTTTTTAATCAGGCTCCACAGATCTTCCCTCTTGCTTCAACTACTGGTGGAAACGATGCAAATCAGCAACAGGCTTTCTTCTTGTTTCAGTCAGGGGATTATTCCTGGTTTCATGTTACAAACTGCACGTGTTTTTGTTTTTTGAGTAGAAGAAATTCTGTGAGTTATGAAATCTGAGGAAAAATCAGACAATGTCGAGCGTTTTCATGTCAGGATGAAGGCAACCTTGAGAGAGTTGACATTTATGTGAGATCTGAAGGGTTGGGGTTAAAATTGTTACATTATCATTTTTATATATGTAATAATTGTATTACACTTTATATTTTAACCTTTTCTTTTTTTAAGATATATTTTAGCCATAGTTTGTTGATGCAGCCCTCTATTCTCCCCCTCCACTGCTGCTCTTACTCTTACCCTTCCTCTATCTCGACAGCCATCTGCCAGAGAGTGTGTTGTTGGTTTTTTTTGTTTTTTGGTTTTTTTTTTGTTATTCATTTATTTATTTATTTCGTATTTTAAGTACAGATGGAAGGGAGGGGATAAAGAGAGACAGGGTCAGCAAATCTCTGACCTGATCTCATCAGGGCAAGCTGGAGCAGTGGCAGGTAGAATCTGAGAAACCCAGAAACATGAAGAATTAAGCAGCCTTTAAAAACAGAGTATTTAAATTAAACTTTCTGTTAGTGCTCACATGTTAGATTGGCTTAAAATCTGACACTTGTTACTTATGAAACATCAATGTAGTATTTCAGAAAGCTACATAGTATTGAAGTACAGGTGCTCAGCCGCTGGATAGTCCTACATGCTCTCAGCAGGCAGAGCTGTAATCGCAGTCAGTCAAAATCCCTTTAATCACCATGTACAATACACATACAGCCATGATAATGCAGTGTGAGCTGAAACACACCGTTGGGATTATTGGACCTCACACACGCACGCAAAAGCTTAAAAACACAAGGGGACAATGAAGCGAGCCCTCATGATGTACCGTTGGAGGAAAAAAGTTTATGAATTCATTACCTGGATTTTTTCTTTTTTTATTCTTGAACTAAATCGCGAATAATGCCGCATAAAATCCAACTAAACTATTAATGTACAAATGGATACTTTTGATGTATTTATTGAGCATGCTGTCACACAGAGCAGGGGTTTAGGAATTCATAGAACCTCCTTTAGCAGAAACAAACTCCATCAGACATTTCCCTCAGCTGCTTATGAGATATAAACAACATCCAGGAAAAATTGTTGACCCTGCATCCAATAGAACATTTTCATTTCATCATACCACAGCATCTCAATTGGATTAAATTGGGTCTTTCCTGGTTTAAAACAGGCCTGTGGGGGTTGACTTTGGTCTTCATTTTATTAAGGCAGTAAGTCAGCGTTGCCTAATCTGTTTTTTTAAATGGTATTTTCCTGTTATTTCTGGCCATTGGATAAACAAGTATATTTTGTGCTTCAGTAAACTGATGCATGACAGTAAAAGTCCTGCCCTTCTGTAATGTTAGTGCAGTATAAACTGTGTTTTCATGTTAAATTATGTGTTTAAAAAGTAATATGTTCGAAAATGAGAACATATTAACCTCTTAAGGTTAATTGTGGTGCAAAGGCATCAGAAGCAGAGCACTACCAAACCTACTTCAGCGCTACCCCTCTGAATGTAAATAAAATAAATGGTATTAAGTATGTCTGTGCTGAGTTTGAAATTCTAGTGTCATGACAACTTTACACAAACACAGTTTATGGTCACGTGTAGATATTTCTGCAGGTGTTTTACTGTTAGCCTTGCTTAGGATTGCACGCTGCGAAAATCACAGCGTGCAATGTCCAGTTGTATAGAGAGTAGCTGGAGCGTTTTTGAGTTCACAAATCTTTCCTCTCTTTTCAGGATTCGAAGATGGGCTTTGGCATTGCTGTATCAGGTGGGCGGGATAACCCAAACGAGGACACTGGCGAGACGTCCATTGTGGTATCTGATGTCCTGCAGGGAGGGCCAGCTGATGGATTGTTGTTGTATGTACCATTTGTTATTTTATGGTTTTACTCCAAAGAAACAAACTCCAAAATAAATCTACTCACAAAACAGATGTAACAGCTTGATAAAATAAATAAAAATGTAATTGACTTCAGTTGGATTAACTTGTGTGTTTACTTTTGTTTAGTGAAAATGACAGAGTAGTGCAGGTGAACGCCATCCCCATGGATGGAGCCATCCACTCGTTCGCTGTCCAGACCCTCAGGAAGTGTGGCAAAGTAGCAAAAATTGTAAGTAAAGCACTGAGCAGCTCCTTCAGTGGGAGACTGCAGCACCCACGGTGTGGGACGGAGAGATTTCGCAGGCCTTTCCTCCCCACTGCTGTCAGACTCCACAACAAAGACTCCAACTGATCAAACACACACATCCACACTGGTGCAATAACACTAAGTGCAATACTTTTCTGGCATCGTTGTATTTTTACTCAGTTGTATATAGCATTTGTATTCTATTTTTATCTTATTGTATATTTTATTCTATTTTATTCTACTGTATATAGTATTTTATTCTATTCTGTACAGTTGTGTACTGTATTTATTCTTATTGTATTCTAATTTTTGCTTCATAACTTTTGCACTGTCCACTTCCTGCTGTGACAAAACAAATTTCCCACGTGTGGGACTAATAAAGGTTATCTTATCTTATCAATCTCTCTTTTAAAAAAGAATCTACTCTTCACATTAGGAATTAGGATTTTTCTTAACTGGATCTGTTTGTGCTTTTATGGAAAAATTCAGACAGTCAAGAGGCCCAGAAAGGTTCCAGTCAATGTGCTCAATCGTCAGCCATCACCTGACGACAGAGTCTTCAACAATGACTACAATGATGACTACAACTATGATCAAGACCGACGTAGCGTGTACAGCGCTAGGAGTGGCGGAGGCCGGGACCAAAGCCTGGAGAGGGAGCGAGGCGGCTACATGGACTCCGGCTACCACACACGTGATCGTGACTATGACCGGCGGGAACGTGGCAGGAGCACAGAGAGAGACCTCAGCCCGGACCGCCAGTACCGGCGAGATGGCAGCAGAGGCCGCACTTTGGATAGAGAGTACAGCCCAGATCGCCGCTATAAGAGCGAGCATGCGCTTGACCGTGACTACAGCCCAGACAGAAGGTACCGCAGCGACCGCACATTAGACCGAGATTACAGTCCTGATCGGCGTTTCCGCAGCGATCGAGCCCTCGACCACAGCCCCGACCGACGCTACCGAAGCGACCGAGCCCTGGACCGCAACGAGAGCCCCGATCTGCGCTACAGGCGTGACAGTCCAGGACGAGGCCGCGGCCGCGATCAAAGCTACGATCGAGGACTTGACCGCATCGCAAATGAGCCGCGGAAATATGACGAGCCAATAAAGCGAAGTGCAAGCAGGGACCGCCTTGAACGCACACCGTCACCTGCTGCCGTGCCCCTCCCTCTGCCACGCCCTGCCCGGGATCTGGAGCCGCTGGAGAAACCTGTGAATGTGCTACTGCTGAAAAACCATCCCAACGAAGGTGAGACGCTAAAAGGCTGTCAGATAAACAAAACATGTGAATGGTTCTCTTCACCTTAAATGAAAAGGGTTACAGTCTCTGTGGGTGGCACGGAAAGCTAACCTTTACTAAAATTCAGGTTAAATCCTATTTTTATGTTAATGAATAAATAACAAAACAATCTATGTTGGAGGGTTGTGAACTTTTTCCCAATTCTGAACTAAGACGTAAGAAGAAGTTTGAGAATCACTCAGTTAGGTTCTTATCTGACATATAGAATGGTTTATTATTCAACATAGAAAGGTTAACCGCTTTCCTACCAGGTTATCTGGTGTCTTCCTCAGCTGATACCCTTCTACACAACCATTTGGCAAATCTCACAAAGGTAGCTGCCAATAGCACTTGTGCATCTGCAAGCCTATTGGAAACCTGACTCCTGCCCCAGCTCTTCCTTTTTCTGTTTCTATTTTAATTTCATATCTGTTGCCATTTATATCTGCTCTGTTCTGTAGTAGGGGGTTCCTTCATATGCACAGGGAAGGGCATGGTGATCCCAAAACAAGGGTTTAAGTGGTCCTGACTAGAGTTTTGTTACCCATTTCTAAGTATCTTTGATATCATAAAAAAGTAAATAAAACCTGTACAGCTATTTGGGAAAGAAACCCCCTCCTGCATTTAGCACAAAATAAGTGGTGTCTGCCACAAGAAAAACAATTGGCAACAAATTTGATAAATGTTAAGCAGAGGAAAGGATGCACTTTATTTGAAGGTTTTATTAAATGGATGCAAAATGGAAATGTCCTAATTGTACGTTTAATTGTTTACTCAAGCAATTCTAGCGAGAGAGAGAGAGTTAATGGAGGCACGGCCATGTCGGCATACATCACCACCAGCTGATTTCAGCATATCAGCAGATAAAATGGCTTGTACCATTCATCAGTTTGGCGCTTGCTGTTTACTGGCTTTATTTTTAAATTGAGGTGAATTTCTTCACTTGGCACAGAAATGCATAAAACAAAATGAACAGTTGGAAAAGTGATCACAGTGCTTATAGGTAAATTCTTATTTTAAACATCAGCCTAGTATATCAGTGCATCATTTATACAGATGTGTCCAGAGGCATTTTGGTCAGTGACCGTTAATAAACCCTTCAGAGGTCGAAAAGTGACCTGATTAATTTTTCCATTTGTTCGGTCATGCCAGGTTATCTAGACTGTGAATGTCAGATATAATTAAAGTGGAGTTGGGTAAAATAAGGTAAAATATTTGTTTGATTATTTATACATAAAATATATGTGTGATTTGTGTTTTTGCAGAATATGGCCTTCGTCTGGGCAGCCAGCTCTTCATCAAAGAGATGACCAGCACAGGACTTGCCAGCAAGGATGGAAACCTGCAGGAAGGGGACATTATTCTGAAGGTAGGGTGGTGTATATTCCTTATTTGTTATTTTTTTGCTCATTAACCGTCCATTTCTGACAGTTCAAATGAATCCTTATTTATATTTTACTGGGCTTTCGCTCAGCATCATGGGTCACGCTTTGGATGAAACGATCCGGTCACACAGGGTTAAAGACACTGCGTAGCAACTACAGATCGCTAGGGGAAATGAGTATTTCCTGACCAGTTGTTGGCAGTCGATGTGAAATCGATGGCTACATCGCAGTCACGCAAGACTAATGACTAGTTTGTGACCCCATGGCCCAGCTGTCGCTTTGGAAAAATGAGTATTCCTCAGCTGGTTGCTAAAGCTTGCTGGTATTTCCTCAGTAAGATTGCAAAAAGCTGTATATACCTCTGCACTGAAACTTTCCAGTTGCCTTGTTCACTAGTAGGTTGCTGACAACACAGACACTCTGTAAAAGTTGTTGGTTTCAGTGATATGGTGCGAAATTTAGTTTGAAGGTGAGTATTCTCGATTTCTGGTTTGCATTACACTTTCTTAAGTTACAGCTCCGGAAGCAATCAAGAGCAGGCTGAGAAATAAATTATTTCCCTAGTGACCAGTGGTTGCCAGGAGTAGATGGGTCTCTGACCAAAGTCAGTGCTAGTATATTGTAACCTTGGTTTCTGCCGCTTCAGTTGCTTGGTTGTATTCCGTATCCAGGCACAGCTGACAAACAGCCTCTAATTTCTTTCTTTTATGTTAAAGTGCTGCAAAACCGTGCTGTAACACAGCTGTCATCTGTTTGCTTTCAGTGTCTTTTGTTTATGTCTTCCACTGAGAGAGAGTCAGAGCTGCAACATTGGGTAGCGGAAGTGTAACATCTTTTAGCAGAAAAGTACCATTGTGTAAAATAAGAAACGTGCGTTTAACAGAGTAGTATTTCGTACTAGAAAGGGCAGCAGCGATTAAACATTTAGTCGACAAGTCGCCCACATTCCTATCAGTACCTGGGAGAAGCAGCTGCCACACAGAGGGAGGGCAGAGTGGTCACTTTTACATTTGTCTCATATTAAACAAGATGAACAAGATTTCTGAAAGTTTCAAATAACAAAGGCGGCGTGTGTAAAGGTAATCTCAGTGAACCAACGCTCAGGATTCACACTGCTTTAAAAGCTCAGTTTTAAACTTTTTTTTTTCCCCCTACTGTTTGCTCTGTATGATATCAGTGAGAGGGGGGTGTCCCAAGTGTGGTCATGTTTGGCACAGAAGCACCAACAACCTGCTGTTTTTAAATGGTATTTGTGTGAATGGCAGTCGTCTTAAAATGAGGGTGGAAGAAGCTAAAAGGATGAACTTAGGGACTGCATTTCCATTTAACTTCAGCATTTAGTAAGCCACCATTGAATTTGAGCTATTTTATTCCATGGGGTATTTCTGAATTGTGTTTTAATGTTTTCAAAAAAATGTATTTTGTTTTTGCTCTTTGATTTATTTATGTTTTTTATTTTAGCTTCTGTCATTTTTTTTTTATCTTTTATGTGGACTGTTGTAAATCAGTTTGATTTCTTTACCCTATTTAATTGAGCTCTTTTTTTTTTTTTTTTTTTTTTTTTTTTTTTTTTTACCTTATTGCTTTGTTCTACTTTAGCTAGCCATTTTTGTTGTTGTGTTTTTGTTACTTTTTGGCTGCTTTTGTCTCCTCTGCCTCTTTTGACTTGTATCTTTACAGTGTAAAATAAATAAGGATTATTTTAAGCTTTAACAAAAATCTGGAGCTGGACATATGCCGAATAGGTTCAGTTTAAAGATCACCCATCTCAATGACATCATACAGAGTCAAGAACAGAAAAAAAGTATCTGAAACTGACTGTTTAAAGCAACCTGAAGCATGAGTGAGCTTTTGGCTCACGGAGATTAGTTATGTGCTTACCTGATTAAACCTTTGACCATGTGTAATATCAACATTTGTAGTTGTGATAGTTGATGTTTGTATATAACATTAGGAAAAGCATAATTCCTTTTTAAGTGTACAAAATATTTAAAAACTGTAAAACATTGCATGCTTTGTTTGTGTGATTCGTGAGTGAGAAGCGTCTGCCCATCTCCTAATCCCCTCTGTCTCTGTCAGATTAATGGGACTGTGACAGAAAACCTGTCTCTCAGCGATGCCGGGAAGCTGATTGAGAAGTCCCGCGGGAAGCTACAGCTGGTGGTGCAGCGAGACAGGAAGAAGATCCTGGTCCGAATCCCGCCAATGGTCGACAGCGACTCGGAGCTCGACGGTGAGAGAAACTCGAAACTGAAAAGCAGCAGGTCCTATGCCGTGTAAAGGCACACCTGGCGAGTGGCCATCATCATCTCCATGATCATCATCATCTTCATCATTTTATATATATATATATCTAGAAATATAAACCTCATTGCATTATGAACTTCTAATGAATCAATTGTGGAAACCTTAATGCCATTAATGTTTCTGTACCTGTCAATCAAATTTGTTCTTAATTCTTAAAATAAAGGCTTTACTTACATCAACTTTTAGTTTTATTTAAATATTATTTCACATACACATATTCCACAAAGCACTACGAGCTAACCATATTCAGCACATCATCACCATCCCCTCCACCCTCTTATTGCTCACCCCTTTATACCTGTTTTTATTGTCACATGACCAGATGGCATGCTGTTATTGGTCGGGAAGGATAGAGATAAGTGGTGTGAGTGGATTGTTCACTGACCAAATGTTTGCCGGGAGGAGGGGGGGATAGCACGAAGACTTGTGACCCAGTTTGACTGGTTTGGGGTGTGTGTGTGTGTGCGCGTGTGCATGTGTGAAAGTGCTCATTCGCCTCTAGCGGCGTGATCTAATCCCCTATCATAATCCTGCTACTGGATATGACAGAATTTCATTATGTTAAGGTTCGCACCGCTGCAGCCTTCTGGTTTCTACCATCCAGCACCCTTCTTTGTAATTCTGTTTGAGGACAATAGGGACCGACTGACTGAAAAAATTAGGATTTTGAGGTCTGACAGGTACAAATCACCTTAAGTGCACATGTGTAATTTTACTTTGTAATGGTATTACTGTGCTTATTCCTCCCTGCCCTGGAGTATAACATAGAAGTGCAGTCTAGCTTCCACACCCTGAATGCTAACATTGAAACATCCTGTTGAGTTTTAGTGCTCCTCATCATCATTGTAACCCCAGAAACTGGTATTTGCATATCTAATTGGTGTGGCTACTCATCTGGGAACAGTGCTCTGACCTTCATTTGTCTGAGAGCTGTGTTGCCCCCCCCCCCGCTTTCATGACCCAGGGGCCATTTGAGCCGAGCAAAGGCCATGTTATGTAATTTACAAAACAAAGAAGCACCAAGGAGAGATGCAGCATTTTACTCTTTCTGATAAAGTTTATAGGCTTTACTACCTGAACACAGAGGACCCCACCCCCCACCCCCATAGCTGCTTGACTCTTGTGTGGTTTCACAGGAGTTGTGATATTTTTCATCATCCTTGTGTGTTTCAGATATCTCTGAGATCGAGTCGTACCGCTCCTATTCTCCACAGGATGACAGACGGGCCCACCACTCTGACCTCTCCTCCCATTCCTCCAATGAGAGACTTCGAGACAAGCCCAGGTACACTATCATTAAAGGCCAATTCTGGTATATTTCAAGCTGTAAAAGCTTTTAATGAGCTTTTCCTCTCAGCCTCAGGGCTCAGAGACTACATCTGTACGATGCTCTGAACCAGATGGCATGTAGCTGAGGTGTTTTGGGCATGTCTTATCAGGAGGGAGGAGACCCCAGAGCAGACCCGGGACATGCTGAGACTGTCTCTTTGCTTGCTTGGGAACTCCTTTGCGTCTTCCAGGCTTGGAAGAGGGAGGTCTGGGAATCTGCTTTCCTGTGAAATCAGAAAATGCGATTTCAGTTTTATTTTTATAGGGGGAAAAATAGAAAAAGAATACAACAATCAGATAATACTCTATGAACAAGCACTGGGTGATCACGGGAAGGAAATTTAACAGGAAAAGATTTCCGGCAGCATCGGCTCAGGGAGGGGCAGCCATCACCAGGAATGTGCAATTAGGAACCTAACACAAACTGTACCTATTTATTTGGCCGTTTGACCTTTTCAAGGATATTGGTGTCTATGACACCAATCCTAGTATGAATCCTAGCCCCTCCTTTATTGTTTGACCCTTTTTATTTTTCATGAAGTCGAGCACAGTGTTCATTCGGTTCACCAAGTTGAACTCAGTCACATTCCTATGATATCAGCTGATCTCAGTGCTAGCCCACATAAACTAATGGTTCAACCGATATCTTCCTGAACATCCTGTTTTTCAGTCTTGTAGAGAATCCTGTTTAACTTGCTTTAGCCTGCTACCGTTGCTGCATCTAAAAGCTGCAACCCCCATCCACCCGTGCTCCTTTTCGTGCTTATTCATGTCATATCTGCCATCCATGCCTGCTCTGTTTTGGACTAGTTGGTCTTGCAACTGCTGCTTTCCCCATCTCAGGATTTCCACTACACACGTGCATATGGAAGGACAGGAAAGTCTAAGAACAGAGCTGTACTCCCAAATCTTACTGCAGAAATAAAGTTCTTCTTTTACTTTCGTGGTCCTGACTGAGTTAGAAGATTTTGTGGCTCCACAGGTTATGCCAATTTGCACTACACACCTCTGCTCCAAAGATTTGTGGAAGATAAACTGAACTGGGTTGGGCAACGACTCCAAATCAACTGGAATTTTATATAGGTCATTTCAAATGTTTCTGAGTCTGACAAAAAGCAAACACACAAAGTTTAATCCTTGAAGAGCTGGGTCTGTATTGTTTTGGCAACTGCTTGTGACCTTGTGTCTCATTTTCATTCATAGGAAAGAATTATAATTAACATTTCCTCACAACAAAAGATTTGTCTGCCTGCTCTACAAACAAACAAACAAACAAAAACCACAATCATCTAAAAAATGATTTTAAGTGTTGCTTTGTTTTGTGCTTTTCTTAATTCTAGATAACACAAAAGCATTGAGCTCTGCTTTGGTCAGTCATTTATTACGAATGAATTAAATACACCAGAAACAAATCAGGATAATGTAGGATTATGCTGATTTTATGCTTCATGAAGCTCAGGCAGCCCGTCACATCAAATATCGGAAAAACCACCATGTTATTAAACCAAACCGGAAAAGGAGTCATAATTATATCAACCGAATTAAATGTGTAAAATGCTTCTTTTAAACTTTCCAAAAATTTGGGATATTACTAGAGAGGAACCGCCTAGCAGGCTGGCAAAAATGGGTGCCATGCCGACCCCATTCAGAGGTGCCGACAGAGACGTTGAAGATAAGGCTGCTTTGCACGCAGAGAGGGAGGAGCCACGCTCCGAGACACCACCAGGTAAACATGATTTCGCCCTGAATATACAAGACTGTAAAAAATAAATAAGTCAAATCAGACAGTTGAATTGAATACTGACTGTAAATGATTTTGTTTCTGCAGTACCAGCTGCCAGTGTCGCCCCAAAGGTTCACGCTCCCCCTAAAGTGCCACTAAAGCCAAGTGCAGAAGACCTGGAAATATACGGGTCAGTATTAGTTAGTTTTTGTTTGTTTGTTTGTTTGTTTGTTTGTTTGTTTGTTTTAATTGAGTTGCTCAAACTCAAATTTACTCAAAAACAAGAAGCCAGCTTGGTTGTCTCCGTCATAAATAGACTCTTCCTTTGTCAACTGTTGTTTCCATGTTTCCATAATGCAGGCCGAACACGGTGATGGTGCGTTTCCAGAAAGGTGACAGTGTGGGTCTGCGGCTGGCGGGAGGAAATGATGTCGGCATCTTTATCGCCGGTGTTCAGGAGGACAGTGCAGCAGAGCAGGAGGGTCTCCGGACAGGAGATCAGATCATGAGGGTACAGCATGTTTTAGTTCCACATTTAAACCCTGCACACACAAGAGTGCTGTGTCTGAAGTTGGAGAAAAAAGACAGAAGCTTCGTCTTTGAGACATATATCAGGCCAGATTTCTCATTTTATTTCCTATTGTGTGCTTCAGGTGAACAACAGAGACTTCAGAGGCATGGTGCGTGAAGATGCTGTTCTCTACCTCCTGGAGATTCCTAAAGGAGAGGAAGTTACCATTCTTGCACAGAGCAAGCCTGAAGGTACTGGACTGGATAAAGAACAGTTGCGCAAACAGTACTAATGCCAAAACCGTCCTGTGTTAAAGTATATCACATAGACACACACAGAATATGATAAAAAGTCTTAGTAGTCTTGTATGAAGAGCCAGTGGCTTGCTTGCTTTTCTATTTCCTGTAATTTATTTATTTTTATGATAATGGATGAATGAGGAAAAACAAGAGGCCCAAATTTGAGCCATGTGGGATGCCAAATAATGGTGGGGGGGTATTTTTAGCTTCTGTTTTCTTCTATTTTTGCCAGTGTATAAAGATGTCTTAGCATCTGGCAGAGGCGACTCCTTCTTCATTAGAACCCACTTTGAATATGAGAAGGAGGCCCCGCAGAGCCTTCCTTTCTCCAGGGGGGAGATCTTCAAAGTGACGGACACACTCTATGATGGCAAACTCGGCAACTGGCTGGCAATCCGTAGTGACAAAAACAACCAGCTGTTAGAAAAGGGAATCATCCCCAACAAGAGCAGGTATGCAATGATGATCATCTTTGTGCAGACAGCCTTTCTGCCCCCTGCTGGCTATCAGAACGTGATGGCTATGTTTTTTGTTGTTGTTTTTTTATTTTAAATATAAATATTTCAAGTTTTTAATTTTTTTTTTTTGTATTAAGGATTTGGCTGGATATTTTATCATTTTACATGTTCTTTCGCTGGTAAGAAATCTGCATATCATCGTGTGAGCAGTCTAACTAGACAAAGTCATATATTTTCTTGTTTTCGATATCAGAGCAGAGCAAATGGCTAACGTCCAGAATGCTGCACGGGCTGCATCGGGCAATGACAGAGGAGACTTCTGGAGGATGAGGGGCCAAAGAGCTGCAAAGAAGAAAGATTTGCGCAAGAGTCGAGACGACCAGGGCAACGTTCCGGTTACACGCTTCCCCGCCTACGAGAGAGTGGTATTACGTGAAGGTATCCAGGAAACACTTTCACCCTGCAATTTTACCTGAGGCATTTTGCAGAGGTCCTCGCTGTGCCAGGACTTCTGAATTAATTCTTTTTGTTTCATTTAGCTGGTTTCAGGAGACCGGTGGTGATATTTGGGCCCATTTCTGACGTGGTTAACGAAAAACTGGCTACTGAACTTCCTGATCAGTTTGTCATTGCTAGTAAGTATCACGACCGCCTGTAAATAAACATTAGCACTAACAGAAAAAGATTTCTGTAGGCTTTCTTTACTCTGTTCTTGTTTGTGAGTGGTTTTTATCTCCTCTTTCAGAAACTGAGCCCAAGGATGCAGGAAGTGAGAAGTCCTCGGGGGTGGTGAGATTGAACTCTATCCGGCAAATCATTGAACAGGTATGGTATAATCATTAGAAGATAATGACGCTGTATGAACACTAGTGCAGTGGCTGTTATGGGAGTGCGCAACACCCATTTTATATTGTTACAATTTATTATTTCCCCTATTTTTTATTTTTATGTCCCCTAAACACCATTAAACCAGAGTTGAATAATAGTGGCTCAAAAATATAAAGCTTCAGATATCAAGCCAAAGATCCCCAGCGTAATTTTGGGTGGATCCTTTTGGAGTTGCATCAAAACTCCAAAGGGATTTGTTGCATCAGAAGCATAAAAATCTGCCAACAGTGGAGCATCTAAGAAGAAAGAGTTAAAGAATAACTTGTGCAGCCATGTTTGTTGGAACCCATTTGAATTTTAGACTAAGTGATCTTTTTTATAAAAGATTTGACCTCATAGTTTCATCCACCTGTTTGAGGGCTAAGAATTAAAATAGGGTAGGGTTGTTAGTCTGTTCTGGTCAGCTAATCAAAATTTAATTTTAATTGAGATTTTGCTTTCCAGCTATTACCCTTTATTACCTTCCATAAAACAAGTCATCATAGAGCGCTTCTTTACATGCTTTAGTGCCGTTTTGTGCAGAATTTCAACTTCCTCTACATCAAAACAACCTTTATATCCCAAAGTCCATAGTAACCAAATAAACTGCTAAAAGAGACAATGTCATAGTTGAAATTCACCTGCAGAGTTTGAAGTGGCTCAGATGAACAGCTGTCGAGAGTGACTAACAGAGATTTCTGTGCAATTATTACTCATCATCCGACATATAACCATGTTTTTCTTTTTTATTATTCTCCTGCAGGACCGTCACGCTCTGCTGGACGTGACTCCCAAAGCTGTGGACACCCTGAATTACACTCAGTGGTACCCCATCGTCCTTTTCCTGAACCCTGACAGCAAACAAGGTCTGAAGACCATGAGAAACCGCCTCATACCCGGATCCAACCGCAGCGCACGCAAACTGTATGAGCAGGCCCTTAGGCTGAAAAAGAGCTGTTCACACCTTTTCACGGGTGAGTTTTATGTGATTTATGGCATGGTTGTCCGTAGTTAACTTGTGATTAATCAGATTTTTTTTTTTTTAATCAACTGTAACTGCCCTTAACAGGATAGTTTTCATTTTTCTAATATTCTTACCAGCATGGGGCGGAAAATATACATACTTTATTCACATTTATGCTTATAATTATTGCAACAATCCAAATAATGACAACTACTACTGAGAAAACCCCCGGAGGTACTGCATGCTCATAAAATACACTGAATGTACGCAACAATTCGCTTCTTTCTCCATTTCTACTCACCATCCACAATGTAACTGAGGAAACCACTTCCAGACAACCCGATCTACAGGTCACAGAGCCCACATGCGTTAATCGCGTGTCAAAAAGCCAATAGAGGCGTTAAAAGGAATTTGCGTTGACGTGGTATTGTCATGTTAACTTTGACAGTACTAAGTATTATGAAATCTTTTTCTTCCTATATTTTTTTCTTTTAAGAATTTTTTGTTTTGTTTTTTGTCTGTTAGACACCATCGACTTGAACTCGGCCAATGACGCATGGTATGGCAGTGTGAAAGATTTAATTCGGGAGCAGCAAGACAAAGCTGTGTGGGTGTGCGAGGGCAAGGTGAGTGTCAGTGAACTTCTGCAGACCACTTGTTTTTGTGTGAATTTGACTGTTTCTTACACCCCTTCGCTTTGCTGTTACTTTCTCTCCTCAGGTGGATGGTTCAGAGGAGGACCTAGATCTCCAAGACGACCGCATGTCCTACCTGTCGGCAATGAGTGACTACCTCAGCATGGACAGCCGGATGACCAGCGACTACGATGACACAGCGGACGAGGGCGGGGCGTACACTGACAATGAGCTGGACGAGACACTGGATGAACCCCAGCCCGTGTCGGCCATCAGTCGATCATCAGAACCTGTACTGCCCGACGAGGTGGGCGTGTCTGCCGATAGACACTCTTCTTTTCCCCAACGTTGTTAATCCATCATCATCACTGTTAAAATATCTACTCCAACCCCTGTGACCCTTCTCTGTGTGCCGTGTGTTTGTGTAGCGGCCTCACCCTGAACCCCGTGTACGTATGAGAAGAGAGGTGAACAGAGAGCCAAGCCCTCCCCCTTCTTTCGTCCCTGAACCCCCAAAGGTGAGAACCTCTCCCTGTTTTCCTCCCGTCAGACATCACTGTCGCTACACTTTCTTGTGGTCTCTCAAGCTGCATCTCAATTTAAAGTCTTTAGACCTTTCAGTTCTTGGCAAGACTCGAAGTACCATCAGATCTGATTCAAACCAAGCTGGAAATGTCTGAGGGTAGAACTGTCTTCTTTGGACTTCATTTAGTGCCGGTGTCCATTTTCAGAACTTTTTCTTGATAAATAACAAAAACTCTAATCTAGATGAATAAAGTTGCCCTTCTATACATCAGTTAAGAGTGCATCCAATAAAGGAGGATCTATTTAAATTGCTTCATTTGGTACTTCCTCTGCAAGCCGCTTTGGAACCCACCTGCACCTTGTACTCCTCCTCTAATTGATGTTTCTTTCCACATATGCACATATGTACCTGCAAATATAAGGGACTGAAGATGAGGGGGAAAAACACCTTTTGTTGCCTAAACCAGCTGTGACTGAAATAAACTTTCTCACACTAAGCTGATAAAAATGTTCAAAACTCCTGCCTGCCTTATATTTGGAAGTGGCTCTTCCTTAAAAAACAACAAACCACATCCTGTAGTTGAGCAAATGATCACAAATGGTTCTTTTTTTTGTTTGTTTGTTTGTTTCAGGTTCGTGCTCAGACTCGAACTGACTCCACACGGAGCTACGAGTCACACTCCAGCAGCACCATCAGCAGCGACGCAGTGGGCGGAAACAAGCCGCCTCCCCCTCCCGTGAAGCCTGTGAAGCCCACTATCGCCCGCCAACCAGTGAACCAGTCGTCAGAAGATCAGAGTCCGGGGAAAGACGACGAAGTGGAGGACCCCGCCAACAAATCCTTCCTGGGCAAGGTTAGACTCATTTATTGATTTAAATGAATTAATTATTTTTTATTTTATTCTTATACCAACAAGGTAGCTATCTGGGGCAAAAAGTCAGACTTTTTTATGTTTCTTTCTTCCCTTGCTTTAGAAGATTTCACTCTGGTATTATATCAAACTTATTCCCTTCTCCTCCTTTTGTTTTTTTTTTTTTTGTTTTTTTACTTTCTCTGCATCTAATGTGAAATAGAAAATGGGTGACCAGGTAACTACAAATTTACCAACACGTGTTTCCAACCCTCCCTTCAAATCCACAACAGCTCGTCATGCATCACAAATGTTCCCATTAATAAATCTCATTATGTATTTGCGTATTTACAGACACTCTTGTCTGTAAATGTTTCATCTGACAATCACTTCCTTGTGAGTTACACCATGTGAGTGGACGTGTGGCATCTATGCTGTTTTGTTTTTGTTTTTTTAAATCAAAAATTGAAGTTTCACTTTTATTTTCTTCCAGATTAAAGCGTTTGAGAAGATGGACCATCTGGCAAGAGCTCAGAGGCTCCTGGAGCTACAGGAGGCAGAAAACGCTCGAGTCAGTAGTGCTGTCTTTCTTCATGGTACAGCTGTAAACTTCAGAGCAGGAACAGACACAGCAGGGAGCTTTCAGTTGACTTTTGGCAGTTGAATCCTGTCAGATTTATAGAAAGCTGCATTTAAAGTTCCTCTTACTTCCCCGTCTGTCCTAAAACAATCCTGACATTCCCATATCCAAGTCCAGTGTCTAAAAGCATTTTCTGATGTTCAGTCAGATCCATGAAATGTACATAAAGATGCCTGTGTCCAACATAAATTGGTTTGTGGACTCATTTTGAAGCCTTGAGCATTTTGTCTGTCACCATCTTGCTGTTTTGAAACTTTTTTTCTTTCTTTTTTTAATCCACTTAAGTCTTACCTGTGAATCATCACGTGTCTACACTTGGCAATCTTTGCAAAGAACAAGTTTTTAATTGTACCAATAGGCACTTTGTTCCTGTTTCTTGGGCTGAATTTACAAAAAATCCCAAAGATAAGAGTTTGATAGGAATCAAATAATTTTGCACCAACAAGATGATTCCTAAAAACCTGCCATTGGTCAGGATGAACCAAAAAATAAATGAGAAAACAGCATCTGTCATGTAAAGACATTTTGTTAAGAAATAGGAAAAGAATCCAGCAAAGACCTGAAACAGGACCTAAGAGATGCATCTGATCTTTCAGTTGATCAGCCTACTGTTCACTGAAGTTTCATCAATAATATTCTCAGTGGAAACAGTCACTTCCAAGCTCATCAGTATTGTACAAGCTCTGTATTTCCTTTGATGTTTGCATGTTTCAACATAATTTTTTTGTAAATTGTAATAGTCAGAATCTACCTTGCCTTGATTTACAAGGCAAGGTAGATTCTGACTATGTATTAATGTATAGATGTATTAATATTATTACAGTACCCCTCACAGTAGTTGAACTTTGGACTGCAGCGTCTGTCCTCCTACTATTTACTCTAAAAAAGCAGCACTCCAGATGGTTTAATGTTCACCGGGGTTTAAGAGTGTTGTTTTAAGGTAGAACTAAAAATCCTTCAACTAAAGAAAGATACACTTGCAGCCTGTCTGGGTATAGTAGGATATTTTATTTCTGTTCTTTACTTTTTTGTATTAGATCTGACATATCTGGGTCTGTCCCTCTCTTTATGCAGTTGGAAATCGCCCAGAAGCATCCAGATCTCTACGCTGTCCCAGTGAAGCTGCCAAAACCCAACCTCAGCCGTCCTCAGCCAATAGGGTGAGAGCAGAGCCTCATCTCTGACATCATAAAAAATGTTCTATTTTTATAAAGATGCAAGTTTATGACCCGTGGTGTGTGTGTTTGTGTGTGTCCAGTTCAAGCTCCATCCCCGAGCCACAGACTCCCTCCAGGCCGCCGTACTCTGAGTCGAGAGGACACGAGGACGACGAGGACGACTACCGCCGCCAGCTGGCCGACCAGACCAAGAGAGGATATTACAACCCCCAGAAATACAAAGACACTGAGCTGTAAGGCTGGGAAAGCAGGAAGTGACATCATCACCGATCAAAACTCTTCGAACTTCTTGTCGTGTCGTCAGTTTCAGACACTTTTCGCGTCCCTTGTTGTGCAGAAAGCGTGGTGCCCCACGCACACAAACGCACACAGATATCTCTGGTCTACCTTTGCCACTCGCCGTTACAGAAACTGTGCACAGCTGATGTTTCAATGTAAATATTCTGTTGGTGTCTGTGATCTATATTTTATTTTCCCGCCTTTATTCCGGGACTCAGTTTGTGCCTACCGTGTGTCACCATCACACAGTAAAACGCCCAATGTTTGGAAGGATAAGAAGCATAAAAGAAATGTAAACACGTCACTTGAAGCCATTTCAAACAGCTGGAGACGTCACATTTTTATACTCCCTTTTTGAACAGAAGAAAAATTCATGAACTTAAAACACAGCAATGCAAATTAACTATAATGGCGCAATTGTGTCCTAAATTTAAGGTTCATGCTCTGCTGCTTAGGTCCTCTGCAGGTGGGACACAAAAGTATGAATATAGTATGAATACATGAATTGAAACTTGATGAACAGTCGAGGCCAAAAGTTTGGCAGTGGCACATTTTTTTTCATTTAGATTATATATGTGATGCGCTTTGAATACTTTTACTGGTAAATTTATGCAAAGAGTGAGTATTTGCAGATCTGCCCATTCTTCATAACATCTGCTGTTTTCTGTGGTTTGCTGGGTATCAGCTTCTGGGCCAAATCCTGATGGATGGTGATCTGTTTCTGTTGACCTTTGAGTCTTGATGGGTTGACATCACTTTTGCCTTGTGACATGGTGAAAATGCACCATGTTATTTTCACCATGACATGGTACATACAGCAGCAATCGTCACCAAATTGCTGCTGTATGAGCTGTTTGTTGTTTGTTTGTTTTTTGTTTTTTTTAGTATGGTCAATCCTTACAAAGTGAGTTGACAAACAGGCAGAAGTCAGGATTTGGGCCAGGAGTCAATGCCCAGCATAGCTGTTGATCCCACTGAGTTGCCGAATACCATCAGTGCTGCGCGTGGAGCAGGTGCAAACCTTTTGGACACAATAAAAATGTAACAAATGTAAAATTAAAACCAGCTAAAAACACTGTAAAAATACAACTAATGCCTGTTATTGATACACCGTGCAGTTTTTTTACATTGTGATGGTGAATACACGAGGCTGAAACTGAAGCGAGCAAACGCCCAAATCACTGTTACAGTTCTGTGGACTGCACCTCAGCTTTTTCACCAATTTTGTGCGTTTTTGTGAGGCGCCACATGCTTCGGGCACGCTCCTCTGGTGTTAATTGTCCTCTAATCGCACCTCCCCTGCTGAACTACACATTCCAAAGTGGACGCCTGCGTCTGCAGCACGCCGCTGTGTGAGCTGTGCAGTCTGGGAAGCAGCTTATTCCCAAGTGCCTTGCAGCTCTGATTTCAGCTCGGGAGATAAAGGCTTCTACCTAAAAAGCACTTGTTTTGTTTTAACTGCTGTTGTAAACTGAACCAAGCAGAGGTTGGAAAGTATTTTCAGTACAGTTACTGCACACAGTCGAAATACACGAGTAGATTTAAACTGGAAACATCTTTCCTTTGTTCTTTGCTTTTGCTTTAGAAGAGCATTGCAGTCACTGAAGAGATGCGAAGTCAGAAATAGGAGATTCAGATGGATTGCATGAATGCAGCATCTGTATCTCATCATTGCATAATAATTACCAAAAGATTGCGCCCCCCCCTTTTTTTTTTTTTTTTTTTTTTTTTTTTTTTTTTTTTTTAATTTAGGACTTTGACGAATGCAGGGCTCTTGGATAAGATGGGGAAGCTGTGCAGCTGCCTGTTTAGCATTTCTGTGTTAGACCAGCGTGTAAATGACGTCACAGATTTCATTAAAAAGTGTATCACGAGCGAGGCGTTCAGACAACTTGTGATTGAGCTATGTTTCTTTATTAGCTGCTGGCAATCAGAGACAATCACATTTTTATTTTATTTTTTTATTGCTGATGCTTTTTTTTTTTGGTTGAAAATTTTGAATATATATTCATACACTTGATTCAGTTCAGTGTTTGTGCACTACTGTTTGGGGAATGTGGTGACAATCATGTTGGTTTATCAGTCTCTCTTAAATGTTATTTTATGATTTGCTTGTTTTGTTTTGTCTCCTGAGTGTTACACAACAGTCTCTTGGGAAAATCTAATAAATGTTTTTTTTGTTTTGTTTTTTTACACAAAGTCATGTTCAGAGTGTCATGTTCCACCTTTGCTTTTGGGTTGCTTTTGTTTTAGAAATGCTGCTGTGTTGGGCTCATTTTCTTCAGATGTCAGATGGCCTCACATTTGACTCTGATACTTTAGTACAGAGAGGACTTCAAGGTCAGCTCGGGGACTGCAAGGTGCCCAGGCCTGTGGCTGAAAAACGAGCCAAAATCATCCCCCCTCCACCACCATGCTTGACAGTTTGTATGAGGCTATGTTTGGTAATCTGGCTGTGTGCATTATGGATCACTTTGCAAGCCTTCTGGACCAATGATAAGATCAGTTTGTTCAGATGAAGCTTTGCAAACCTGAGGTGTGCTGTCATGTTCTTTTAGAGAGAAGACTACTCTTCCTACTGGCAATCCATCTAAACAAGCCATACTTATTCAGCCTTTTTCTAACTGAACTGTCATGAACACTAAAATTTAATGTGCTAAACGAGGCCCATGGAGTCTCAGAGGAAGCTCTTGGCAGTGCAGTGAGCGCTCACTGACCTTTGGGTGAATCCACTGGCAAGATTGTGACATTGTGTTAAAACACAGCTAATATAGAGGTGGTCACACTTGCTTTTTGTCAGCAGCATGTGACTACTACCTGCCCTCTTTATTCCTATGGAAGCAAGTAAGTGTGTACTTCAGTCAAGTGAAAAAACTGTTCTAAATTTATACTTGAGAAAAGGTCGACTCCACCACTGGTCCAGTTTTAACTACTTTTCAAACAAAAATAAACCAAACGTCACAGACTGCTGCCTTTTCCTTTAGTTTATTCTGCAGAATTATACATGCAACCTTTACAACTTCAGCTTTAAACTCTTTTTGTGTCACCCTGACATTTTATAGGTCCAACATGATTAGAGTACATTCAGAGATTATACAGCTATTCAAACCAAAGCTAATATTGGCTCTGTTCTCCACCTAAATATACACAAGAAAATCCCAAATTTCTCTTTGGTCAAACATAAAACGTCACATTAACACTCGGCCTAGTGAGATAATCTGCCTTCTGCTGTCACACTGGAGATGTACATGTTTACATGACAGTCAACTGTACAGATTAAGGCAAGTCAAGTGATATCAAACAGGGAAGGGAGAGGAGGGATAAAAGGGATTTAAAACTGAGACAGGCGGGAGTGATGTGTCAAGCGAGACGTGTGTGTTCAGATGTAGACCGGTTGTTCCTGTGCTGTCAGCAGACGGTACATGGCTGCAGGCATCGTCTTCATGTGGATCTGGAGCAGAAAGGAAAAAGTGCAATGAGCAAACTAAACTCTCCTTAAATGAACCTTTTCCATGCAAGAATAACTTTTTGTAGAAAATTACAATAGCTTCTTTTTTAAAGATGTCACATCATTTGTTTGTGTTAAACTGTGACACAGTTTAGGCCAGTATCAACCAGGGATGTACTTTGTTTCAGTGAATGCAAACGTTTACCTTCTTCAGGGCCCAGAGTTGATTAATCAGTGTGAATTTTCTCCACTGGAAGGCAATAAATGGTAAATGGCCTGTATTTGTATAGCGCTTTTACTTGGTCCCTAAGGACCCCAAAGCGGTTTACACTACACTCAGTCATCCACACATTGGTGATGGCAAGCTACATTGTAGCTACAGCTGCCCTGGGGCGCACTGACAGAGGCGAGAGTGCCGGACACTGGCGCTACCGGGCCCTCTGACCACCACCAGGAGGTAACAGGTGAAGTGTCTTGTCCAAGGACACAACGACCGAGACTGTTGGAGCCGGGGCTCGAACCGGCAACCTTCTGATTACAAGATGAACTGCCAACTCTTGAGCCATGATCGCTCATTTGAAAAATATTTTATTACAGAAGGCTACCCTGTTGAATAACTACCCAATTGTGGTGTAGGGGTTTAAGTGTACTTCTGGTCTTGGCGTCTGAGAGGGTCTCCTACGGTAAACTGGTCCCTGGGGAGGGGCTAGACTAAGGAAGTCCTAATGAAACTTAAGTCTTGGCACTGCATAACCACTCGTGGAAGTGGAATCTGGGACCACCTCCTCTAGGCCTGGCCGCCAAACACTTAAAGCTCATGAATACACCACTTATGTCTTATACATGAGTGATGGGAAGGCAGAGCCTTGGTTGTGCACCTACTGCACTGGACTGTTGTGCTGAACCGAGAGCTGAGCTGTCCATCCAAGTTTTGACCCTCAGTTATAGCCACCTGTGAAGATCTGGGTAATGACTGAAAGAGTAAGGTTGAGAATTCATGGGGCTGAAATAAGTCTCACCCGTAGGATGGGCTCAGTGTTAGGGACAGGGTGAGGAAATCTGGAATGATCTCATATTCATAGTGAGGAGGCAAAACGTAGTTATTGTGCTAGATAAATCGGTTTATGCCAATAGGACCAGGTGGAATGGACTGATTGATTTTTCATGGCGTGACCCACCCATATAATATAATGGAAGGATTATTTTCAACTGTAAGTCATGCAAAGCTGCCGTAGTAAAGGCAAGACTTTAAATATGGAGCTGAAAATGACAATAAAGCGTCTCCTTTAAAGTGAAATGGTGCTGTGCTGCACAAAGAACCCTGGGATTACAGCTTTAAAGCCGTAAAAAGGCTTTTAATGTGTAAATATTGATGCAGGAGGAAAGGCATTCACTGAAGCAAGTCTTTCAGCTGCAGCTGTTTTCCTGATGGAACTGAGGCTGATTTTGAGACAGTTTCAATAATAAATCAAGAAGACCTATAAAACGGGAATTTACATGTTAAAGATATTTTAGGATATGTCTCAAACATGTTTTTTGCTGCTGAGGTAAATAAAAGAACATATGTGGCCATTTTGAGTATTTACCTCTCCCATGGCATTGGACAGGATCTGAACAATCTTCTCGTGAGGAGTCGCCACGACGCTCTGGCTGTTGATCTCGATGATGCGGTGACCGACGCGGACGCCACCTCTCTCAGCGATACCGCCTCTCATCAGACTGCAGATCTGCACAGGAAGGAAACAGAGGGATTTGGCTTAGTGGGGACACAGCCGATACCAAATCTAAGAATTTGACAAGAAGGACAATTCATTTAATTTGTTCCCTGCAGCTGCGAGTGAGTTTCAGTAGCTTCAGATACTCACTATGCCATTCTGGACGCTGAAGCCCAGCTGGTATCGGAGATCCGGCCTGCGAATAAGCACCATGGTGACAGGAGGGCACCTGACAATGTTCATCTTGATCCTGGACTGAGACTTGAGACCCTGGGGAAACAGCAAGCAGACATATGAGACAGATCCAGCAAACATTTAAGAACCCCTTCTGCTTGTAAGGGGTTTCAAAAAAGATGAAAGGTGGAAAAGAGAGAGCAGCAGCGTACCTTGATGATGCTCTGGCAGGTGCTGAGAGGTAAACCCACCAAGCTTGTACCATTTATGGTCATGATCTGATCTCCGATGTTGAGTCGGCCAGACTTCTCCGCTGGGCCGGCGTGCATCATGCTAGCGATGATCACTGTGGGGAGGATTGACCCCCAGCCAGACTCCACGATCACCACGCCGAGGATCTCGCCTTTTTGCTTCTCGATGTAAACCTGAACGTGAATATGACCTTAGTTTCTTTAAAGATACCAAATAATGTTCATTTACAGCTTCAAAGTTGCATTTTGGGGATTCTAGTAGAACAAATCTTGTCGGATATCTGCTATAACTCTGTGAGGAGGGGCTCAGGCTTCCGAGAGCTCTCAGCCACATAAGGTAGCGGATCTTTGTTAGTCTGACATCGTGCCAAACAAACAGCCAGATGACTTGGATAATGAATGACTACAGTGTTTTTAGGCAATTTAGCAGCTGTGGCATCAAACTCAGATATAGAACGTATATATGCATAGCTGTATGTGTTAATGAAGCCTCAAGATGGACGTCTTAGTGCTTTAAATCCAAATGTGAGGTGTGTCTGAAAAGTGAAGGAGCACACCAATTTCTCAATCACACAGTAAAACATACCGTGCTTTATCCTAATTTTTACCCTAGTGTGTGCCATAAATTACAAAATTAACATCCCGTTGTGTTCAGTAAGACCTGAATGTGCAACTGAGACCACAAAATTCTCAAGAAAGTGCTTAAAGAAAGACTTAAGACTTATCCCATAGACCTCCCTATAACTGGCCGCCCCCTGCTGGCCACTAGATATGAATGCAGGGTTATGGCACTTCAGCACTGGCTTCAGTCTGTGAGCTCAGCTAACATCCACCCGAACACTGGATTGGATAATCTCAAACAGGATGTAACATTTAATCTGCTGCTTCTGCAAGCCACTTTGCAGCCCACCTTCAATTCATGTCATCCATTTCGTACTCCTCATGCTGTTTCTGACTTAACTAATGATGCAATACAATACAAGTTTATTTGTATAGCACATTTAAAACCAAGGGTATACCAAAGTGCTTCACAACAACACCATAAACAGATACGTCTGTTTTCACTGATGCTGGGAAATTTGCAGTTGCTCTCAACCGTTATCCTTTCCACATATGTGCATGGAGGGCGGATACAGTCAAAT